ATTAATTTATCTCATCAAATTAAATTTGTGGGCATGTTTTGCTAAATGCTTACCCAAAATACCACCGGAGGTAACAAAATAATGCAGTTTTCACAGTATTCGTTGCAACTGAAAACATCTACCCTTGATATATCACAGGATATTTGTGGGCATGTTTGCTGGTTGCTTACCCAAAATACTGCCGGAGGGAACACAATAATGCAGTTTTCACAGTATTCGTTGCAACTGAAAACATCTACCATTATATATCACAGGATATTTGTGGGCATGTTTTGCTGGTTCTGCCTGGTTGCTTACCCAAAATACTGCCGGAGGTAGCACAATAATGCAGTTTTCACAACTGAAGACATCTACCACTGATATGTCACAGGATATTTGTTGGCATGTTTTTTCTGATCTCTCACCAAATACTGCCAGAGGCATTGTAATTTTTTCACATAACTTGCTGTAAATGGAGATATTTATCCCCTTTTTTGCCTGTACTTACCAGGTGTCCCACCACCAATGTTCCTTCCCTGGCAGCTCACTATAGGTCACATTAACACCTGCCTCTTTCAAAAGACGAACCATTCGCCTGAAAAACAGTTTTATGCCAAGCAGCGTTTTAAAGCAATTCTATATAAATTGTAGTTCTTTTGTTCACATGATTTTCACGGGGCAAATCTGGGTCCAAGTATACATAAATTTTGTTGTATATAGCAACAATGGCGCCCTCATGCTACAATTCCTTTAAAGCTCACCAAACTCACAACAGTCAAAATCAAATACACAGCACTTTACATAGCAGTCATGCTTTAAGGATGATTAAGAACTTCAAAATAATACTACTGATAACATGAAGACATGTTCTTATTACTATTACAATGCCATTTGTCTATAGAAAAGTTAACTTTTTCCCTACTTTCTTTTTCTTTTTTGATATGGCATTTTTATATCAAACATACTGGTCTGTGTGTTTGGATGATTGATACAGGGCCTTTTCAATTTCTCACCTTACGAAGTATGGGTGTACTGTCCGATCAAGGGCACCGATTCTTGCCAGAACAGGGATACCCTGGGAAAAGGAAAAAAATGGTCAAAGAAGTCCAAGACCCAGAAAGTGTGTAGATCACATTCGCCACCAGTTCTGTACACAACCTCACCTGCATTTGAAATGAGAACGGTAACTTTCGACTGGCTTTGTGTCCTGATCGGCTTACATACAGTCACATGGTGTGGACCGTGTTCTGGCCTGGGTTTAAATTCTTGTCTAAGAACAGGACAGACCAGTGGAGAGGGATCTTGACCAGTTTGTCACACTGTATTTATATAGTGAAAGGAGGCGTGGTATGTGGGGGACCAGGGGTGCCTTGTCTGATACGTGCCAATATGACTTGGGCATGCCCGCCAACTAAAACAAAAATTTCAACATGTGCACTTTTGTTCCATGCTTATTCCTTGATAGCACTTATAAAGCACATTTTCTGAAGGGGTGCCATTATCCCATCAAACCTATCTGATCAACTTCATCAGGGAATGAAAGGCTTGAACTTCTGCTTTCTTTCTCTTACCTGCTTTCTTACTAGGGAGGTGTAATGGGGAATGGGAGGTCACAAGAAGTACACAAGTACCGTGTCAATTATGGCATCAGAAAAGAAACCCAGACATTCAACATTGAGCATATGATACCTCTGGTATAGTAAATGCTTCAATATAAGTGTTTTAGAGGCACTCCATTATTTGAAATGACCCTAATTCCTTTTTCTCTAGTCAGCAGCACATCAAACACACTTTCATATTTTTTTTACAGGTTTGGATGCTGTGTAAATCAAGTTTCTGACTGTCTGATTGGACATTATATTGATCAACAGTAAAGCTGAGGAACCTCCTGTACCCTTGCCAGCCCATGCCCACAGATCTGAGAAGTGCAGGAGTTGCACAGTAACTACAGAGATAAGTTTGGGCACAGCATAAAAGGGAAAAGAGGGGATCTATAGGGCACCATTTGCATGGCACGCAGGGGGAGGGTGAAATTCCCTACATTTTTACATACCTTTTTATTAAAAAAAACCCTTTCCTGAAATAGAATGTTCAACAGGCCACGGGCAACATTCAACCTAACGACATAACAGGGCAAAGTCAGGTGGGACAAAGGCCTGGGATGGGCCAGGTATCAGGGCGGCCATCTTTTATAAAGAGTTGTACAATATACACAAACTTGTACGCATTCATACTTTTAGACAGCAAACGTGAGACATGCATATTGAGGCCTAATGCCAAAACAAACCTCACTGTACGCCACTAACAACATCAATTTGAAACCATTCTCACTTTGTGGCCAAATGTTCTTTCTTTTCAGATCTTCAAGCCTTTGGGAAGACCAAGACCCCAAAATACTCAGCAAATTTAAAGAATATACTACCTTCAGATTGGAAATGTGCTTATCTGCATCATTTTCTGCAATACAGGCCTGCGAATCAAAGGAGATACATTGTAATTTAAACGACACTGTCAAAATGTGTCTTCGTCATTTGCGATTAGGGGTTCCGCACAGATTGGAGCCTCTGGAAGTCCAACTGCAAGGACTTGCTGAGCAGTAATGCGGGGATAACTCTTTGACAATGTGCTCATTCTGATGGCGGACACCTGATGAGTGGTGAACGCCCTCACGGTTGGACTTTTCAAAAATCGATCGGCTGCGGCTGGCAATAAAGCACATGTTGTATGGGAAGTGGCTGATGCTGTAAGCCTTTTGCTTCCATATGTATGCTGTATATTTCAGTCGCAGCCACAACTTTCACAAACACGGCCCGACACAGGGAAGCTCCAGGTATATTCACGTCACCATCAAACATTGGCCACCTAATCCACACCGCAGATGTACATGTACGCAATTAATTAAGGTCTCCGTTCACCAGCTCTCATGAAAGGAACCAAGATCAATATCCCTCTTTTCTTGATGCAGTCCATGTGGGAGGGCCCAGCAAATCAAAATCAGGAGCGAATTCGAAGTTGACTTCGTTAAAAAGTGTACGGTTAAAATACAGAAGTGACTTAATTTTTAAGCAAGACTTTTTACGACAGTCGAATATGCTAATTACACACTTCCTAAGAAACAGGAGCTAAATATTATCTTGGTCAAGATATTTGCCTATCAGTTTAATTTACAAGATATTCAATAGAATGGCCTCAGTAGCTGCCCAAATTTGCTGCATGACTGAAAAAATGTTTGCACAGCACAGAGCTGGGAAAAGTATTGGAGACATTGCCTAGCCACTCAGACAACAAGAAAAAGAAGAGACAGGCTTGAGAGTTCTTGAACTATGGGCCCTACGGTGTGTCCAGCACACACACAAAAACCAGGCATTCCAACAGAAATTGTTGTACTTGCTCAGGACTGTCCTGTGAGAAGTGTGCATAATCCCTTGCGCACATGCAGTGAATTCAAAACTGGATGTCATTGCTATGTAAAAACATGGAGCAATACTCGTGGTAGACAGAGCACTGGATACAATAGGTGCATTCAAGTATAACATGCATGACTTGGGTTAAACCTTCCCCCCGTCTTGCTTTTTGACATATGTACAGCACACATAAATGTATGGCAACTCATATCAGAGTTTACCCCATTGAAGCTACATGAATGCAGCTTGAGTGTGCATATACTACTTGCAGATGTGTACATGTATGTACAAGTGATTTTTATCTGAATGTGCACAGACCAATAATGGATTTTGTGCAGGGACGACGGCAGCAGTGGGATTCAAGTGTCCTTTTTCCTTTGTCACCACAGCACGTGTTCATCGATATAAGTTGATGGCATCCAATTTCCTTTAGCCCTGGCTAATTTTCTTGTTTATAAACTGATGTTAACTTGATAGTGTCACCATGCTTCTGTGAGAAATTGTCTCTTCATTTCATAAAAAAGCACCAGTGATGCACAAATGCCTCATGCATGTCGGTTACTGTTCAGCACGTACCTCCATAATGGCTTTGACAGAAGGGTCTGTATAGCTGGTACTCAAGTCATGCCTAATCACAAAAAAGAAGAAATCAGGATATGAGGTAATTAAGGTCAAGCAAGTCGATTTCACAAAAAACCATCTGAAGCTGAGATGCAAAGTGGTCTACAAGACCTACCATAGATAGTAACACTGTAATCGCTTGTGTTATTTCGTAAATCATTTCAGGGATTTCGATATTCATTCAATCATCATTTCAAACAATATTTGAAGGTGAAAAGCAACAAGTTGAAAATGCAAGACATTCAATTATTTACAAATTTCCAAAAGTACGGTGTTACTACTAAATTTAAAGGTAGTTTATGCATTTATGCAAACATAAGGTTGAAAATAGTTCAGGCACTTTTCAAGTATTCAGTCTACATTTTATACAACATTTAATATGCAGGGAAGGTATGCTTTTTTCATGTAAGAAGTAATTTTAGCCTCAATTAAATTTGTCTAAATTTAAAGCGAAAACCTAGAATATCCTAATTTCTAGTTGGATCATAGGTTCTCATAAGTTACAGAATGTTCATTTTTTCGTCTTTGTTTATTGTCAATTTTTGAGTTGACTTTCCCCTTCAAAACATGTAAAAAGACCAGGGCAAGAGCATCACAAGAGCGAATTCTCTCGACTACACGTAAAAATAAAGATACTGTCCAATCTTTTCCCATGACACATTATGAGAAGCGGGGTATATTGGAAGGGGATGTGCTGTGTCTGGCAGATATTCCCCCCAGGAACCACATGTACGTCAGAAAACAACACTTCTATAGCAGAGAGGGAGAAATTGCCAACCGACTTCTTGAGTCTCTGAAATAAGGATAAGACAGAAAAGGAAGGCTATATTGTGGGTCAGCAATGCCAATATGAAGAGAGTATCTCTGCAGAAATGGGCAGACCACAGCACAGTGGTGTTGGCCTCCGAATGAACGAGACAGTGTTTTCTCATATCAGTAGTCAATGTAACTTAGCACAAATCTGTGTTTACATTCAGAAAAGTGAAAGTCCCAGACTCAGCTCGGGTGATTTCCAATCGATATAAACCCGAGTGAAAAAAAAAAAGGTTTATAATGCCATCAGCACTTCACACAAGATTTTAAGACAGATCAACAACTTAGGTATGCTGCTGAACTGACAGCACGAGGATGCCAAAAGTTGTACACAAGTCTAGTGATAAAGACAAGTCCTGAAGTTCAAATCAGACATGGGTGTAGCAGACGAGACCGACAGGGTTGGATGGATCAACTATGACATGACATTACTTTGGCTGCTTGTCTGTACTGCTTTAACCCCTTGATGCCGGGACTTTTTTCTGAGAATTCCAGCCTCGCTTGGCCACGAAGGACACCTGCCAAACTGCAAATTCTCGATTTGTACCCCTGCGTGCTGTGCACGCTTTGATTTACACAGTGAAAAGGCTCATTGTTCGGTGGCATGTGGCTCTACTCACGCTTCCACATTCCCGTTGCCTCTTTTCAAAGTGGGGACTATCGTGAAGCTGGGGATTAATGATGCAAATTCGGCCTTTTCATTTCTTGGCAACACACAAAGGCCAATCACCATATATACAAGAGCCAGGGTGTGCCTTCTTTCACCGTGTTCGCTCGAGCGTGGGCCCGAGAATAATAGCTGAAAAGCGGGCCGAGGGATCTCAATTTTTACGGCGTCTCTTACCACTTCCCAGTGAGAAGGGGTTTTAAAAGGCCCTCATCACACTGGCTGAATGTGACACAAAGATTAGGCTGAAGAATGAAGCGTGATGGTCTGAACTACAGCAGTTAGGAAAGTGAAGAAGAGCCTAAATGCAAGTTATGGCACAGAGAATTAGAAAAAGGTTCATTCAAATATATTCATATTGACAAGGACTGAAGTTTTGGAGAGGTAACCTGATGGTGCAACATCCCCAAAGGGACGAAGTTAGTGGCTGACAAGTCAGTGTACACTATAAAACAAGAGGGACATTCTGTCTTGTTTTTGGTACCTGAAAAAGTCCACAACATTTCATTTGGAGAAAAATGGAAAAGTCCCCAAGCTGATTGTCCCAATGCACAATTCTGTTAAAACGACAATGAAAATTATCCACGCGAATTTTCCGACGGAAAAGAAGAGCACTTGTCCTCATCAAAATAAAATCCTGTCACGGCCTGAACAAGGTGTAATCCCCTACAAGTATATTCTATAAACACAGGTGGCACGGCTGGTCCATAATCTCTCTTCCTTCAGTTTTCAACATTTCAGCAAGTTTTAAGCATTTGGACAAGTAATCCTTGCCAGAAATAAAGATAAATTACTCCCATCTTCATGAAATGCCATTTGGAAAGGAGCCTGGGGAACAAAAGAAGTGCTCCTGATTGATTGGACAGTTATGCACGATGCATTTGCCTTGGACACTAATCACTCAGTCATTAACATAGACTGACTTCATCAGAAGACACACAGTTGTGTTCCTCAGTGACCTATGTGTTCAAGGCACAGTGTGAAATCAACAGTAAGAGTGAACATTCTTGCCCATGCTACGCCAAAATGTCATGGACAGGATGTAGATGAGATGTATCAACCCGAGACAAATTAAGATCAAATGATGGGGGGAGGCTTATCTCTCCTCCTGCTTTGCACTGATTGCTTTGCACTGATTGCTCTGCACTGCAGCTGTAGTGACTTGCGTTGTTTTCACAGGAGCAGCAATTCAAGAAAGTATTACGAAAGAAATCCCCGTCAGCTGATTCATGGGCCATCAAGCACACAGCATCTCACTGAATTACGTAGTCCAAAACATTCAGAAATCATTTGCTCTTCACGCAAAATGGAGCACACTTTTGACTAATTTTAGTTCTGAGTATTTTTTTGTCATACTTGTTTCCTCTTTGAAATAACAATCTTTAACCCTAACCCCGTAGGGTGTATGTAAAATCGTATTGAAATTGGAGGATTTGGGACTGTTAGGGTTAAGTATATAATGGGGGCCTGGCCTAGTACAAGCAGTAGCTTTTGGCCAGCCTCCACTGCTCATCGGGTGCATTAAACAATGTTATTTTAGATCACAAGATTAATGGATGAATGGAAATGAACCAAACCAAACCAAAACTGTCACTGTCTCTGATGAGAAACAGTACAGATGAAGAAATTTCTGGAGTCACGGTTGGTACCGATGCTTATAAAACAAGGAAACATTATTATGTTGTCAAAGCATTACTGTAATCTGTGTAAGCTTGATTTGTCTGCTGAAGCATTAAATTATCTAGAATGAGACAACTCCTTGTAGCCATTTTATGCTAGACTGAGGAAGAGCATCGGAAACTGGTGACTTGTACATAAACAGGATTTGCTCATCAGGTGCTGCATGGAAGACATTGTGGAGGTTTTACATTTGTGCAATGGGAAGAATAAGGTCATTTACTCAGTTACAGATTGATCCAATCAATGAGATGAATTCAGTTTGTTACCTCATGAAATTACATCCTGCACTAATAAACATTCATTAATTGATACACTTCATCCAGTACACATACATGTATGTGGTTGATCTACAGATGTCAAGACTGACAGAGTGTTGTCCCTTATGCTTGATGTTGTATCAAACTTTAGCTGGTAGTGGCATGAAGTTGGATAACCAGTGTGCTAAACTAACCATCCATGCATGGCAAGCAAAGTACAAAATACCCAAAACATCAGTCTCAACAGTACCAGAGACATCATCAGGAGTACTTTTGACCCAGACGTGACCTTCACCTTCTGGTAGTTGGTTACTTGGAGCAGTTGAAGGAAAAAGAAACGGAAGCCTTGAACAAATTTCTGTGCCCAAGCGTTCTTCACAGGTTTAGTTACATACATGTGAATAGTAACGTATGTGGCAGAAACGTGGGGATTAAGATAAAGGAAAGAAAGATGGGACATCTCACAAGTACAAGCTCCAGGTATAAGGCCTAAAGGCAGCCGTAAAAGTGACTATACCTGCTACATGCATAAGAAATAACAGCATGTACATGTACATGTAAGTGCAGTAGCTGCACAGCTGTAGCCTTGAATTACCACCTCAGAAACAGCAACAGATGTTCTGCTTGCTGGAGTGAGAATGGCCACACATGGTCCCCAATGGCCCCCCGTGGATTGGCCAGTGTTGCCCATGCATAATGAATTTGCAGAGTGGTTGACAGTGTTCAGGCAGCCACCAGATTAAACCCTCCTGCCAATGGCATCAGTGGGGTACACGTACATGTATATATACATAATTAAATTGGACACTGAAGGGGTGGATCATCAAGTGTCAATTCTGTTTGGCCAACTTGAAGCTTTTGTCAATTTTTACAACTGTTTTGTGCATCACAGGCTGCCACATACAGTACATGCAGACGTATCTGTATTTTAGCAGAATACCCATGGGTGGTGTTTTGGTATAGCTAAAATGGATTATCTTCTGGAATTGTTTGGTATGGAATAAATGTTGCAATTATTACCAGTATTAAAATACTGTCCAAGCCTACATGTACTTGTACATGTACATTTTTCTTAAGATAACTTTCAAGATCTAGAGCAGGTGATTTTCTGCAATCGCGGAAAATGGACGGAATTCGTGGAATCAACACTTTGAAACAGAATCCATTGCTTGAAATGGAACTTGAAAAATTTGCCTCTAATACTTCCACGAAGTACTATAACTAAATGCCTACCAAACCCTTTTAATGAAATGCTTACTTTTAATGAACGAATTGTGTGTGTGAACCCCATGCACTGGCATGCAGCGCTAGCAGCGGCCGGCACAGCGCAGCGGTGCGGTACGGCACATACCTTGGCCGTTCACACATGCACCATACTAGCAATGAAATCAAGGTGCAAACAATTTCATACTCACACATATGCTTATTGCACAAGTGGAGAATTCAGTCTGTGAATCGGCATGGACGCCTTGAGATGAGGCTAGTACCGCATGGCAAAACCATCTAACCGCAGCAGCAAAACGGAAGACGATATTTCTTGCATTAAATGAAACCTACGAAGCTTGCTGAACGGGCCCTCGGAAGTGTTCGCTGAAGAGCAAAGGTTTTAGTCGCAAACATGCGTTTTAAGGCTCAGATATAATGTTAACTTTCTGTTATCATACCACTGCCAAATAAAATGGAGGGTCAAAGGTGCTACGGGGTTCTCATGCTTAGAAGGAGAATACAGTATCCAGAAAGGGCAGTGTGCATGTGTCATTTATTCCAGCAATTTCTATTCAACAAACCTTAACACAACACAGGAGGGCGCTATACACTTTTAGTGGTAGACATTAACTCCTATCCAGACAAATGTCCAACATTAACCTACTGTGACCAACAACTGTTGCATGGAATACCTACTGTGTGACTTCACTGTACACGTATTTAAATGTAATTTGATTTTATACACGAGGAGCGACACATAAATTGCCCGTTGATTAATCATAGTTTTTTATGATCATGCTGGTGGGAAATCAAGGAGAGAGGCTGTATTTATTGTGGAAATTTTTTCAAATTTTCACTTCAGAAAATTATTTTAAAATGTTGCAAACATTGCAAAGTATTTTCAAACAATATTCTTTTTTCTTTTCTTTTTTTTGGGAGAGGGAGTAGTGTTGGGCAAACGGTTTGCATGCATAGTAAAAAAGGAAAAAACTTTAATTTACTAGTTTTTTCTTTTTTCTTCTTCTTCTCCATGCATAGTAGGTTAAGTAAGTTAAACTTACTCTCCTTTCTTATGTTTACTGAGGTGAAACGGAATTTGAATTTCTGAAGCAGAATTCAGGATTTGGCGAAACAGAAAATACCCATTTTTGAAACGGAAAATCATTGGCTCTATAGTTTTCCCACTGAATTTACCGGAAAAACACATTGCTGTCGCCATATTCCTCCTTCTTGATCCAGCCAGCCAATGAGATCACAGCCAGCGCCCGGTCAGGGTAGTGTGTTGCTAGATGCCACGCTCCATGGCCTCCCATAGAGTGACCTGCAAAGAACACATGGTGGGCATCTGCCTTGTTGGGAATCCAGGAAGTATCTTGGCTCAACTGAAAAGCAAAAGTGAACACAGCGAGAAGGATTTAATCATGCAATTTCAAGAACAAAATCTGCCTTTACAGAAAGACTCAATTTAAAAACAGAAACTAACAAAGATGTACTAGATGGGAATCATGCTCATTCGTCTGTTGTAAACTTTGGACAAGCGTCACCTTTTGCAGAACTTCCAGGGCTGTCATTGCTGTGAGAGCTCCAGGTCCCTCCCAATTGTGAGCCCCGTGCCTGTATAAACAAGGCAACCATTGAGTTTATTCCACTCAATCTATAAATACCATGAATAATCTCAATCAGGTGTCATTACATGTCCTGAAAGTACTTCAGAAAGAGTATTCTTGTGGTACATGTAACGCTGAAAACTAATGCACACTTTGTTGCTTTATAAAAAATTTTTCAGTGAGGGAAGTCAAATTTTTATGTTAGTAATTTTTGTCCCACTTTTTTCACAAAATGATGGGTTAAGACTGGATGCGGTTTGCCTTATAAACAGTTGGAAAAATAAATGCCACATTTGTCTAAAAGTACTGACCATGTTTTTAGCTTTACTACGAAAAACTTATCGCTGTGGCCTTTAAAGTGTACCATTTTTTGTTTTCCACCCATATACTGACATCTGGAGCCTGTAGGTGATAAATCTTTTACTTTTCTATCCAAAAAGTACAGGCTTTAATATTTCCCACTTTCAGTGGGTGGAACTCTGCGGCTACCCAGTGGCATGTCCAGGTCTTGGGCCCTGTGGGGGGGAGTTAGATTTTTCTATTCCCAACTTTTGTTTCAATCTTTCGCATCTATGAAAGGACCAGTCGTTTTATGACTAGAGCTAACGCCTATTTAATCATGACCTAAATTCTATGGCTCTTTAAACTGATACAGTCCCCCATGGGATGAAACGTCCCGGTTAGACTGGTCTTCTGTACCTGGTTGGTGCCAGGACCCACGCTGTTTCAAGTCCAAAGATCCATCTGCCATTGTGCATTCTCTTATAGCCATCGGCTTGATTTTGCGCCCTGACTCCTACGACAGCAAAAGACAAATCAATAATAATGGCCATACAACATTTTTAGCAATACACTGACTCTGGCATGGGAGCGTATTTGGCGATTTATTATACCAGACAAAGCCCCCTTAAGTTAAGCCTGGTTTCCATATCGATGTAAGAAATGCCGAGTGACACAATCAAGACACAAACTGCGATGCAGCCACCTGGGAACGTGTCAAGCAGAAGTATCGCCCATAACCTAGACATAACGCAAGCTAACCCCAGATGGATCGGCAAAGTTGAACCCGGTTCAACTTTACCGACTGTCTGGGTTGAGTTGCTGAGTAGGCCTATACAAACACGCAGGCTGCCATGACGGGCGTACAACAATATTTCTCTCGCTTAGTTCCACTCATTTTGTCCATTTTCTCCTTATTACTGGCATATGCAGCCCCAATCGTGAAAAAAATAGCTGACCATTAACAAACTACATCAAACTGGAGTATCAGTTAGGCTTAAAGAACCACCACTGCCACCTAAAAGGGCATTTTTTGTGAAAATCTTCCGAGTTTCGGATGCCATTTTGTTAATTTTTTTGGGTGGAATGATGTCGCGCAGCATGTCTTCCGCAAATGTCTGCATCTTGACCTCTTCCGGACCGTCTGCATTACAAACGACCATCTGGAAACCAGGCTTTACAGAATGTTTACAAATCAGCATGGCTTGCATGCATATTATAGACCATCAGCTACCCAAATGGTGCACAAAGAAAACGTCAGCAACGTGCTGTCCTTCCCACCCAGTTTATGTCCAATTGGACCTACTATATGTACATGTAGACGTAGAGGTCGTTTCATATTCATGACTGTGTGTCTTTGTCATGCAAAAGTACATTCTCATGTTTAAATCACAGACATAGCTCAGCAAAAATACTTAAGCGCGAGTTCTACTACGAACATCTTGATGCCTTAAAAATCCTCAATGAACCACTCCTCCTTGGATTCATATGAACCAACAATGTCATGATGTTTTTAAAACATTGAGGGCAATTAGTATGTAAAATGGCCCTTGAAGAAATATGTTATTTTAACTATTGGTAAAAATCTCGCAACTTCACCAACATGTTGCCAGAGGGCAAATACTGCTGGGTGCTGATGAGAAATATAAAAAGGGCCTATATAGTTACAGAAAAGTCCAATGAGCCCTGGGTAATATCTTTGAAATTCAAATAGTCCCTAGGGATTAATTTCACGGCAAAGTGATGCATCAATGAAAATTAAGGAAGAAAATGTTATGGGCACTGACTATTCAATCACAAGATGTTGACAACTGTCCCGTCTACATGTATGAAAACAGGACCCTGCCAGGATTACATTCATCAGTTTATCAAATGTATGCAGACCCATAAAACCTGATTGGATGTTATGGTCATCATGGTGCAGAGAAAAAAAATATCACTTTTCCAACCCAGCAGAGCCATTTGGAATTTAACCCCAAACACAGCAGATATACATTATTTAAACAAAGACATAGAGTCAATAACAATTTCCCGGAACACTTATATACAACCTCTATTCTCTGCAACACCCATGCATTATCCCGAATTACCTGTTCCATGAAGAGTCATCAACACCTGCATAATGAAAGCAAATCAATGAACTGTAAAAGATGTTTTGGTACCATATGAAAAAAAATGTACAGAGTTTTAATTAACTTCCGAAAGGGTTTACAACTATATACACGTAAAACTTGCTTGACTTTCTGCAATGTAGATCAAGAATTTGGTGGTATTCATCACTGATGATCGAGTACTTACTGGACAGACATTGTTGGGACAATCTTCCAGTGGCTGAATGGCAGCTGCATGTTGGACCTCCATGGGGTTAAGAACAATCAATGAGCAGATTTGCAATGGTGATAAAACTCACAGAATAGAGGACGGGTAAAAAGTTGAAGCAGTAAAGTGAACTAAGTATTCATTCAAATTTTTATACGGACATGTCATGTCACACACTTTTTAAATGCGAAGTTTTAGGTCAAGTTTCATATGAAACGAGTATATGTAGGCTTTTCACCCAGTCTTTAAATCTGTCAAGCCCTACGATTAAATACTGAAGGGATAGACAACAGTGGGATGGTATTTTTACTGTTTGTGCCAACTGCACATTGAAACCCACCACATCTTTGTGTGTGTATATGTATGTGAACACACTCTCCAACTTCTGAGTAACATCTCTCACTACAATGCCAAGTTTCCAGCAGCTAGATTTAAACTAACAGTCGCAAATCAGAACAAACACCATTAACAGCCATCTCCAGCGCCACTCCGAATCTTTTTTTCTCAGCTGAGACTGTCTTTAAAATATGCTTAAACAAACCTGGGGCAAACCTTTATGTTCTTTCAGCGACGAGTTCTCTGATGTGGGGGAAAAAAAAGAGAAAGTCCAGTGCAGCTATATGCAGAGTGCGCAAGAACTTACCGAGCCATCATGATCAAAGAATGTAAACAGAAAAGACTCCCCTACTTTGCGACACCTCAGTGTTATGGGGAGTTGTTGAGAACCACTTCCTGAGGAAGACACCTCAAGCACCAGTCTACAATAAAAGAAGATAACAGCAGGACTGAGGTGCGCATCATTGAAGCAAGCAAAACGAGTCAAATTCACTCTGCAATATCCACTCTGTGTCATAATACAGATTTGGGTCAATACAGTGGTTCTTGGCTTTAAAGTCAGAAGTTGGCAGGTATGTGCATTTTTGAAACTTAAAATTTTCAGCCAAAAGTAGCACCATCGCCAAGTGGTAAAGAATGTCCTGGATTTCAGTAAATTTCAGGATGGTCTCAATAAAATTTAGAATTCATAAAAAAAAGTACATAAAATTTGAGCTTAGAACAGGAGTAATCATCCGCTGAATATAATGTTGTCATAATCAGTTTAGTTTCTATTGTCGAGGGGGTTTTTGGTTGTCTTTTTTTTTTAAACTATCAACAAACACCGTTTGTTCCATGTGAACATTGAGGAATGTTCCAAGTCAAGAGACGATGCAGAATCATATCCTGAGGAATGGGCATCCATGTGTACACACATGAATGGGAGTGAATGAATGAAAAATGTTCATGACTACGTTCACACACGGCATGTGCTTGTACAGTGGCAACATTCAATCACTGTTCAACTATCCCTATGATCACTGATCTGCCTCAGAGGCGAAACAAATACATGACATCAGGGGCGTTGATTTCATGGTCCTACCATGTATAAGCCACTGAAGATACTCACGATGTATCACCAGAGCATCCTTGATTATTGAGAGGTGGCGCTTGCTGGAATGTTACCGCAACCAGTAGAGTCTGACCAGGAGCTATATTAACTGGTAGGCCTGACTCCTTCACCTGGTGCAACTCCAGAGGAGGCCCCTGGCCCTGTCTTGCCATGGTGACTCTGTGGACGAATAGAGACAACCTCCGTGACCAAACAGATTTTTCCGTGGCCACACATTACAGACAAAATGCACTGGTTGGATATTTAAGAAACATTCACTAACAAAACCAAGGGTTATGATCCTGTAAGAATTACAAGCAGATACATGTTTCTTATCAGATGTTATCATCTAGATCAGCACAACCAAAACAGCGTCAATGTGAAGATCTTGAGGTTCTGTGCCATCATCAAAGACTGGCTCCCATTGAACACTGTGTCTTTGTAGTTGGGCAGATCTTGCCCTTGTCTGGCAAACTGGCACAGTGGGTGGCACTTGTTTTTGGCATACAAACAAGATATCAAGTTGTGTAAGAGCACAAGGTGATGTACTGTTGAAGTTGGCAGTCTAAGATTTTAACCGCTCGCAGAAGGTATTATTTTGCCAACTTTTAATACTGCCAAATGCCATGAAGACTGATTCCTCTGTTCATTACTTGTCCAATATTTCTCACTGCAACCTTACAGGGTTTAAACACTTCCAAGGTACTGGTATTGTAAGCCCGTACAGAGTGATAATGGACAGTTGTGGGCAGCAACTAAATTCAAGTGCAACATATGATCTGCCTGTAGACTTTTCAGATTTTTGTGCATCTGTAAAAAGCAATGGCAGAATAGCATTTACATGTACAATGCCAGCTGGAGGTCAGTTGGCGCATGCTTGGCTGTTTAACCCATCAGCAATGCCCAGGATTACAGGGGGCCTGCTCATGTTGACACATCATCTGGGGCGAAGCGGTTGAAGTCAATCGCTAACTTAAGTGTGCTCTTGCCTCTTTCGACTCTCTTGAACCCTCATATTGACATGCTACACGAGTTGTTGCCTCAAGTTTACAAACCATAAAGCAGCTTATCCAACTCTCAGATCAAACACTCTACCAATCTGCCTTGTGCAATCAAGTCGTAGCGTAAGAATGCAAAAGCTTACCGGATATTCTTGAGCCATTTTTCAGACTGTAGATTTGTGACCGGAAGAGCCAAGACATTGCCAAAAATGTGGCCTTCGACTAGATCTGGCAGCATGGTGGGTTGATGAACCTCAAAGGTTTCTGAGCCTAAAACATGGCAGTACAAAAAAACATTCACTATCACGACTACTGAACATGTACAACTCAATCTTAATTATCAGCTATTCATCAATAGCAAAGTTTGGCAGAAAATTACTTTTCAACTGTTTAGTGTGTCTGAGTCTAAACTTAATGAATGCAGCAGGTCACAATGATACTCATTTTCCACATGTGAGTTAATTTCCTTTGTCAAGTGGGTTCCGTTTCCACTGTCAAGTTGGTACATGTCCCAAGGACATCATGTCTAAAACAGGTTTCATGAAGATTAACGTCCAGAGAAAATTTTTAAACAACCATTTTATTGTCTTTAACCATTTTTAAATCTATGCAGCATGCAGGATACAGCATCTTTGCATATGAATTAAGAAAAACCGATGCGCTGATTCATTTTATTTGCAACAGAAAGCTGTATTCTCTATTTTGATGAATCACAATATTTGACACAAGAATTAACATAGGTATAACGCGGACCATATGAATGAACACTGTGTTTCTGACTGTGCAAAGTGTATAAAAATTGTGACTCAATTGAACAGTAGCTCTTGCAACCTTTACAGGACTACCTGTACGTCCAACGTGGGTGCCGCACAAATAACTCTGGCCACATGCGGCTCAAGTTTGAAAGAGATATATAGCTGCTCTTGGCTATGAATGATTAAAAGTTTGACAAGGATGTGCATTAAACTTACCGGCTGATTTAAAACTGCATTTTAGAACCTTTAGAACATAAAGCACACATAAAAAGAACACAAATTTACAAACAATCTGTTCAACACAAAACAAAAGTGACCCCCCCCCAAAAAAACCTGCAGGTAATTTTAAGTTGTTCAGACGGAAGGAAATCAGTTGATGAATGCATTGCCTCTATTCAGTTAGAAAGGCCATTGTTTAAAGGAGAAGAGAGAACACGCATATGGATAATGAAAACAACGCTTAGGGTGATCAATTTGTCTTGAATGGTGATGCACACTCCAATGAAATCTCTGAAGATGACAGGGCTGCATGATATGTGAAGCATCTTCCTATATGAAGTCCAGGTACATGTCTGTGTGTGTACATACATACATGTAGAAAATGAATATGTCTACAATTTATATTGATCAAATACATTCACAGTAACAAGGAATTCGCTCATGCTTCAAACAACATGAAATTTGAATTCTTTGAGAAACAGCCTGATTAATCTGTCTTCCAACAGTCAGGAATAAAAATAAAATATTTCAAACTTACTGACATAAACACACAAACTGCAAACACATGACAACATACACGTACATGTAAAAAGCACAAATGCGACAGCTTGTACTCAAATCTATGTGAGACAAAGTTTTGACAATACAATAAATAAAATCAGCAAAACCACACACTGTTACCAACATTAGCCATGTTTATGAAACACCATAAAGCCATCAAGGTCAACTTTCCATCTACTAAAATGTTCCAGTTTCTACAAGTAATGGTTCACACTTTGCAATACTTTTCCTCTCCACACAAAGACAGAAAGAGTGAAGAGGAGTTTGGCTTATCAACTTGGAAATGCTGAACATGGTACGATCTACCGTCTAACCTTTTTTTAATTCATACGTAGGCCTTACAGTCACCTCTTTTCAATCAGTTATTTAATAAGTGAGGAATAATGTGATGGGCAGCTTAAACTAGTATGTGACAAAACCATGGGTGAGATCCATTATCATTATGCATGAGGGTTTTAAACAAACATAGGAGTCAAAATTTCATGTGAAACCAGAAAAGTTCTTAAATCTGGTCAGTTCGTGGCACTGGGATCTTCCTAGGCCAAACCTTCAAGTTTGTTGGGACCATGCAGTCTCACACCTGTTAGAGTGTAACTGATCTCACCAAACCCAAGCTTTCCCCGGATGAGAGACCACTCAGAACAACCTTAAGGCAAGGGAGCAGGTCTGCTTTGGAGGAAATACTTTATACCGCCGAATATGATTGTAATTATTGTTACGATCCGAAAAACTTCAAAATATTTAAGAAGAGTAATTACTCTAACGCTTGAATCTTCTCCGATGCAACAAAGAAATCAAACAAGATCTCACTGATACATGAACAAACAATTATGATTTAATGATAACGTTACACTCAGCATGTAAAGAAATTAATAACAGAGAAAGTGCTGATTGGAACTAGTTAACAATGATATGGAATATCTCATATAAACTACATATAGGTGTTCTGACAGGCAAGAACTTGCCAGGCACTACAGTGAAGAATGCTGGACTCCACAGATGGCAAAAAACAGTTCAGTCCTTGACGGTGCAACAATAAGCTGCAACGGGGACGAAGACCCCGTCCAATGAATGACTGGGCTCCGACGAAATGGCGAGGGCATGATGACCATCGCAAATATGGGACTTGATGCTCCCACAAACTGGAACTGGATTCAGTTTATAGATAAACTGTCTCTTCTGGAACCAAATTCAGGTCTGCACTTCACTTGGTCTGGACGAACCTTTCTTCCAAGTGTCGCTCCACGGATGACTCACCACCACAGGTTGAAATGGTGCAGAAGTCAACAAGTCAAAGGCTTCTTTCAGCCTGTGTACGGTAGTATTGGCTTCCAAAATCTCCCTTATGGTATGAGTCTCTCTCTCTCTCTCTCTCTCTCTCTGTTTTTATAGTCTACAATTCTCCAAGAAATTTCTTTTCATTACATAATTTTCTTAAAATAGACTTTTTAGCATTACTTAATCTTCAAAGAAACCTCCAGACTATAGGCTAGATAACTGGAAATATTGTCAGCTTACAAGCTATTTCCCAGATGTACAACAAGAATTTCATGACTACTGATTATTACCTTTGGCCACGGGTCAAACACGGGTCACACACAGAATCGTGTGAGGTACAATTACATAATCTGCCACATAACGTAACGTAACATTATATACACTCTGTGAACAGTACAATTGAACCTGCAAGACAACGGCATCGTCGGCACAACAAATATCAAATATGATGATTTATTCAACAATAATCAAGGAATATACAGTGATGATTGAGACTTGATTGGGTCTGCTTTATTACCAGGGTCTTTTAATACAATGGAAGACAACTGCTCACATCACCTGCAGTAGTAATGCGCACAGCATAAACAATGCACAACAACGTAAGCAATGCACAACAAAGAAAGCAGTGCGCTTCCAAGTCAGTGATGTACTACATGTACCAAGTCAGCAACACACTATCAGTAATCTACATGTACATGTACCTCAGTGTGAAGCATGTGCTCCCGTATCAACAATGCTCACTTGAACCCGCAGTGTTCACTTCAATAAGCAATGCTCAATCTGTACCAACAGTAACCGATTCAAAACGCAACTTTGTATGGCCAGCGCATCAGTACTGCACAGCATAACTTAATACAGCCATGGTTCATACACTCATCAGCCATCAATCTGATCTTGTACACAGTGTAAGGGGCAGTAAATATCCACAGTTGGCACAATTTTGTTAGACTTAAGAATACCGGTACATAAACAGTCAAAATGGTACTGTACATGTCAACAAATTTTTATGATAGCTGATTCATCAAGCTCCACAAATTTTATCTAGAAGAGCCTTAATGAGAACTTGTAATCTATGGACCATTTCAGGTGTCCATATTTCTGCTTTATACGCCGATTGAAAAGTTGTAAGTTTTTCAATTTTTTCTATTAGGACAAAATTTTATCATCTAATTGTTAAAACAAAACTGGTGTGCAAAACGAGAACTCTTCTTACAAAACTCTAAAGGTTGTCAAAACAAAAAAAAATCAAGAAACAAGCAAACTTTAAAGATTTGTTGCTCACTTAGTCTCCCAGGTCAGCCAGATTCATCCACAACAACTTGTCTTAGGAACACTCGACTGTGATCTTCAGTTCCAAAGATTTCTCTGTCCAGCCATATCTGTGTTGTGGTGCAGACCTTCGCCACCACTGTTCTCATCTTCTACTTTTTAGTATGTCTCAGACTAGGACACTTCCGGTAGTGGATGGTGTTTGCCCCCCTCTTCCATGCAGGGCAAGGAGGATGCAGTGGATGGATAGTGGGATGCCTGAGTCTCTTTCCTGATCATGTGCAGCATCCCTTCTTCCAAATACGGTGGCAGCTCCTTTTCCATATTTGCTACCACGTCCAACTCCTCCAACTGGCCTGAACCTGGCAATCACTCCCGCGGTTGTCCCTTCACAGGCAGTTCTTTTCTCCTTTCCAGGATTACAGATCCGAAACATCAGCTTCAGTCTCAACCAGAGATCTGGCCAGCATCAAGCCTTTCTTGGCTAAGTCAACACCACCCTCAACCAGTTCTACCGGGGCTGGCCCGAGAAAGTTGGCGCCATTCTGAGCAATTTTGCTCGGGACCACAGCTTCCTGATCTGGTGGGATTACTGTAATTTCGGACACCAATCGCCCACAGGCATTCACACACTTACAGATACCACATATAAGTACAATTCATTCAAAAAATAAAAAGACTGGCTCTATGTCTCTACACCTTCCATTGCAGTATTTTGATCATTTATTTAAAATCACCCACATTAATAGTAATAATAGCCCGGTAACAGTCTCAAGCAATTTATGAGTAGTTATGCACCTCTCACTTCCCACCAGCAGTCATGACAAAATAAAGAGCCCAATGGGAACATTTCCCACCATCTCAGATTTTCCCAGAGAACAATCACTTCAACATGAGGCACATACATGTAGTTCTCTATATCTCGTCCCCTCCCATATCATTCATCATATCAAGTACGGGTAACATGCAAAGTATGTTTCATCGGCAGCTACATGTATTTTCTAATGATGTCTCATAAACTCCCAATGTACCACTACAGTGTCTAAATGGGTAGCTTTCATGGAAGTCTCCAGAACTAATCTAGATTTTTGGCTTTGCTGCAAGAAGTCCCACCGTCCTATTCAATACAATGGTAACTACCTGACTACAGCTGTGCTGAATGCACAAGTGACTGCTAACCTGCTACAGACTTCCACACTCTATTCTACGGCAGGATGCACAGCTCCTTTCATATGCAGTAATCCTCTGTCAAACTAACTTTCTTTAGTCACTTCCTCTATGCTTACAGCACATACTGATTTACATGCATCCCTACATGTAACTATAACCCTATGCAAATCATAACATGGAAAAGCCCATACAGAAATATCTTGTATGTGAATACGGAAACATTGTGTCAAGGGTAGGCGTGAATAATGGCGGAGGTTACCTAATATGGGGCACAGGTCTTTAATACGGAATGCCAATACCAGCACCAAATATATCCCACATAAATACATTGTATTTATTAGCCTTATACATTGTACTAGAAGGTGAGCAGTTACCCTACAGCAAGGGAGATAATTAACGAACGGTGGACAAAGCCGGGAGGTTCATTTGGTGGAAGTATACCACCACCTGCAGAAGGCAGGACTATAGCGGTATCAGGGAAACCTTAATAAACCTCAGAGTGACACAGGGTTTCAAGGACAATAAATCAGTGTAATAGGTTTATTGCAATCAACATGGTACAACATAAGCACAACGAAGAGTTTATTTACACAGTATTCCTCAAAAGGCAACTCAGTATGCCTCGTAAACCTAACCACCTGGCAACTCTCACATAAGCTAAGATTCCCACTGCTATCTAGCAGCAATATTTCTCATATAATCTGCGTGGAGTGTTACCAAAGGATTACAACCCTCACCAGGCCATCCAGGGTCAATTAAACCTGGGGATAACTCAGCTGTCGATCATGCAATATATTGTAGCGTGTCCTACGGATTAGGGTCCGACGCTAGTATAGATACACACACAGTCACAGATCGCTGTTCTGGTCAAGAAATCTCAGTTTTATTGCTGTAGCGTCAACAACAATGTGGTTTTTCAGACAAGCTCTAAACATGGCGCCCGTCGGCAGAGACTGCGCAGTTGCGAGGCAGGAAAACCGCGGGCCGTTTGCATACCAGTGGAGGCAGCCAGCCAACTCCATGCGGGTCCGAGCTGGTGCCCCCACCGGCCAGACGCGCCGGCGTTACAATATGGTGCTCACAGATGGCAAGCAATTAAGAACAAATCACCGTTCCAATAGCTCTCAGCCAAGGGTTAACTACCTATGCTCAAGACTGTTCCCACACTAATCCAGGCCCAATAAACAGTTCATTCCTTTATACAAATTCAAAATATGTACAGCATGTATGTTCTGTTCTACAAGCTTTCTATTTAATTTATCTCAACAATTTTGCACGTAGTTGTAATGCTCAACAACTAACAAAACCTTATTATAATCTTACTTCTATTGTAAACACTAGGCCTACTAGAAAAAATGACATCTTGGATTAACATGTAACACCAAATCACTTAGAACTAAAGAGCAATCACACGTACTACATGTTCGCCTGGTCTAATTGTCATTTATACAACCATACTGGCAGATGCAAGATACAGGGATCACGGCGTCCAGCTCCTTCCCGACTGATCAAGGGCATACTGGCTTGCATCCAAAGCTGTCCAGTATGTCTGGTAGCTGACCTCATCCAACAGATTCACTCCATGTGAAAGCGTTTCAGAATATCTCCATGGTAGCCACTCCAACCTTCTCGCATTGATGACGTCTAATATCCTCCACGGGGATGTCACTCGCTCTAGATTGGGGTTGGCTCCTGTAGCAGTTCATTTTTACAAATAACATGTGTGAAGTCCGTGTTCCTTTAATGAGTAACATAGGAGGGCATTTCCTGAATTATTTACAGCTTCCTCCTTGTCCTCGCTCCTTCCAGGACCAGCTGTTTTAGAGCCTCGGGAGGGCTCTCACTTGCTGCAGTTTACTCACACCCTCCTCCACTGCATATCTACGTTAGCAGACTGAGAAACGTCTTTGATCTCCTCCACTCCTCATCCTTCAACTATCGAGTCCACTGGCAACTTTGTCTCCCTGGTGAGCATCTCATGTTAGTTGACTCACCAGTTGATTCCTGGGGAGCACACAGATATCCCAATCACGCGTATCGCAGACACTCATTCTGGTCAAACTGTACCCTCTTCGGCTCAATCATCACAGTGACAATGTTGATCAAAGTCTTACTGAACTCTTTAACCAGCCCATCCGACTTTGGAGTTCTATCGTACGCTGTAGTTTGAGTCTTAAATATTCGCAAAACCCTACACATCTCAGCAAACACGGCTGAATCGAGGTTTGTCCCTATTCAAACTCCAATAGCATTCGTGTCTAGGATGTAGTCACTGTCTGGAATGGGGTAAGCCAAAACAGGTGCTGTTTGCAACCTCTGTTTTAGCTTTTTAAATGTCTGCTGGCAAGGCTCTGTCCGAATGAAGTCCCTGCACATTGCAACGTCTGTGCGTAAATTCTGCAAGCTTTTAAGACACACCAATTGGGTTGGCATGACATTGAAATGCACTTTAAATGGGTTTGCAACCATCTGGAAACAAGGATTTTCTTGTTTTTAATAGGTTTATGGATGTTTATGGAAAAGGGCACAATGGCCAAGGTAAATATAGGGCAAGGCAAAAGTGTCTGTGAGGACAAAGATTTTTTGTGGGGCACCTCGGCCAGTGAGAAGGGCAACAACGGCACTGACAGTCATGGCCGTCATTCATTTCAAGGCCTGATGATAATCTTTGCTAAGGTAAACCTTGCTCCGGTCAACAAATCATGCAGGTGACTTGGAAGGTCTCTTTCAACCTTATCCACACATTTCTGACCAACACCAGCAACAAACTATTACCAAAGATTCTCACTGCTATCAGACAGTGATATTTATCATACCGGTTTAATCTACGTGGAGTGTTAATCCTAACACTCCTCAATCCTTCACCTGTTGGAAGACTGAGGAGTGTGAGGGTTAATGTAATGAAGGGATAATAACCCTTACCATCCAGGGTCAATTTATTCAAGGGACAATAATAGATAACTCAGCTGTCATCCAACCTATGGTGTTTACAAACGGCAAGCATTCACAACGAAATACCGTACCACTAGCTCTCAGCCAAGGATTAACCACCTACACTCAAGACTGTTCCCACACTAATCCAGACCCAACATTCCACCTACATGTACCGGTCAATACAGTGTGTCTGCACGCAGCGCTCTAGATGCAGCGTCCTACAATACTACAGCAACCTCACAGCACACAAGGCACAATGAACTGCACACAGCATTTCAACGTGACCCTGTCACTCTACAACCCAACAGCGAACTACATGTAACTGAGGAACTAACCGAGGACCAAACAGCGAACTAACCCTAAAGCAAGTCCTAATTCCCAGACCTACATGTAGTGCCATAAGCATTGCTGATTGATCAACTTAACACATGCATAAATAAGTAATGAGTTAGACTGACGCCCATATCAACCTCTGTTCCGCCACAATATACAACAAATGCAATTATATCTCTGTCTTGAATACTGTTCTCTCACGAGCTAGTATAATTCAGAATTGTATACCTAAATATATTTCATGCGCATGAATGCACATGCCCCCACAGTGTTTAGGATAATGCAGGGGATACCCTGCACGATATGCCGTAAAGGGGGACCCTTAATGTGATGGCTATTGTGCCTACCGCACCCCCCTTGGAGATCTGAAAGGAATTCCAAAGATTCCATCAACACAAAAGAAGACACAATAGAGGGGGGTGCCCCTTTGTTGCATATCTTGCATCATATAATGTAGGGACTGCTTTATATTCAAAGACTCCTTTACCGCCCTTAATTGCTCTCAGAAAACAAAAGCAGAGATATGACAAAACAATTGTTGACTGCTGTGACGTGTGATATACACTGTTTAAACATGTGCATTCACAGCTGTCTTGAAGGGAGCCTTTCTATTCTTACTCTTTCAAGGAATGATACATGAAAGTCATGTAGTCTTTTGTTGGGCTGTCTCCAACTAAAGTGGATCTATAACCACAATGTTTTTTTGGGGGGGGAGTAAAACATGAATAGCCTTTGTGCTTTGCCAATGTGAAGCTAAATTTTGGTGCTACTTTCATGCATTGGGATGGGAAATGAAATTGTTCCCTCGGAAAAAATATTGTTTCTTTATATTTCAAAAAAATATATATTTTCGATTTTTCTGCCCTCCCCCTTTTTTGAGGCAGGACGTGCTATGGCCCAACTGCCCACCTGGTTCTGCCAATGATGTCCCCAGCACAACTTTTAATTCAAGTCTGTATATACAATCTAGACTGCAAGTCCACGTGTCTACCAATCTATAAGATCACTACTTCTCTGTTTATAAATCATTAATACTCGTCACGTTTTCTAATCAAAGCTTGCTGGCCTACCTGAGTTTGTTTGGCTCTCAATCTGATGTAAACAGTGTGAATACCAGGTGATAGTGAAACACTAAACCTGCACAGAAACACATGAAAGGAAATGTCAAAACAAAGTAACTTTTTCATGACTTGAGCAGAAAACGCTTGGGCAACTGAAAAATACAAAGCGCATATATATACAAATGACAAACCTCACAATGATTTCAGGAATGCATATCACGGCTTGGGCCGTTTTCAACTTTAATAATGCACATGACTGTGCAAGTAATTCAAAATGATGTGTCCGTGATCCCAAAACACAAGTCTAAAAGATTTTATACGACAAAGAGCAAAGTGAGCTAACTTTATTCTGACAATTTGATTACCTACATGTACTTCGGCAATCTTGAAGAAAATGGAAATGTGGGTGAACAATGTTGAGTGGTCTCATTGATTTCCACTTTGCGATCGCTCTTAAGGTCTTTCACGCATGTTTGCTCTGACGACGTGTGACTCATTGTGTTTAATAGATTGGGTAAGTAAGTCACAAGGAGCAATAAATGGTAGCATGATGTTCCACTGTGCCGGCTATACGTGTAAGTGATGAGACTGGGCAAATTCAGTTTCCACTCTCAGTAGCTAGAACTGAATTTGCATATTTTCATATTAACTAGACACATGGTCAAAATGACACAGGGCCAATGCAATTGCAGCAATCCAATGCCACATGACACAAAGATACGTGTAGAAGTATGCATGGATCGAGGCTTACAGGAAGATGGGAATTTCAGTTACAAAGACCAAGTCTGAACTGACTAACACACTATACCAACCGCATGTACATATGAAGCTTTGTGAGTGCAATGGAAGAAGTAATTATGAGGTGGCAGAATAAAAGTTCCATTCCACAAGGCAAAAACAATCCCCAGCCTACAGAAAGACATTCAATCTTACGGGTCAGATACATGTATAGATCGGCCAACATGCCTTACTCCTTCCTGAGGTCTGGCATTTATTTACCCTGCAACAGATTCAAAATTTAAATAAATTGAAGGCTCATTTTAATACCTTTTAATCTATTGTGTGGTAATGCCTGACCTCAGGAAAAAGTACAGCTAAGTTGGCATGTCTGCATGTACATGCACCTACCTTAACAACTGTTACATGTATAGTATATTGTGTTCACACATTTTCACTACTGCTTTAATGCTTTACGTGCATTGCAGTTGCTTTTTGCTTTCACTTATATGTGATTAAATTACTCATTTATTTATCTTAAAATTTGCATATTCTCCATTGCTTTAAATCTGTTTTATACAGTGAATGTAATTAACTTATTGATTTTTTTACTTATTTATTTTACTTTATTGATTTTTAAATTCATTTATGAAGCAAAATTTTCGTAACTGACTTTAAAACAGACTTTCATTTGATGATGTAAGAATTAACTACATGTATGCTGAAGTAGCAAATTACCGGCACAAAGATGGGAACACTTCTTGCTCAGTTTCATTTAATGTTGGCTCTGAAAAGAGCTGTTTGGAATGTTGTGGCCCACCTTTGGCAACGGGTGTGGTCACTGGTAATGTTGACCGGTTGGTTGTTAGATGTATATGCGGTATTTTATTTTTCTGCAGGGGAGTTTTACATGTACATGTATATGTAAGTGGTCATTATGAATATGTGGTCCCTGAATACAGGGGTAGCTACATGTATTAAGGCAGGCTTGACTGTACAATTACATAATATTAACCCTAACCCCCAAGGTGTGTGAAATCGTATTAAAATTGGAGGATTTGGGACTGTTAGGGTTGTAATGGTGATTTTTCACACCTCTGTTCTGAATACTGTTTTTTATTTGCCCAGAGAGACCATGTGACACGGTGACATAACCGCATGCCACACTCACCATTTGACTCACATTAGTCAGCATGCAATGTACTAAAGTATGATATCACATGCCCTGCAGTGCACAGGATAATGCAGGAACTACTAATTGCTACTGTTTAACAATTCCTTTGCCACCCTTAATTTCCCTGTGAAAAGAGTGAAAAACATCAAGACAGAGATATGAAAAAACAACTGTTGACTGCATGATGTGTGATACATTTTAAAACGACCTGAGGTACGCTTAGCGCCCAAAGCAAATCCAAGGGTGCTATATGAATCCCTTAGGTTTTCAAAACGTCATATCCCATATCACAGCGGTCACCAACTGTTAAATATCAAGTGATCATTCTTATATACTGCTAATTCAATGGCATGTGATCAACAATCCATCTTTTCAAGATGTTCTATGATAGAGTGGTACTGACAAAAAACTCATCTGTGTGTATTTAATGTAAATACTCCGAAGGGCAACTGCAAAACTTATTTCAGAAAAGTTTGCTAACAAATATTGAGACCTTACCAGTATCGTTCACGCCGATAGACATCAGCCACTATGATGACATCATCAACAAAGATAGTGTGTACACCTTGACGTAAGGCAACAAAATGTAACAAATCAGATGGCTAGGATACCACAGTTAAGAAATATACGCTGTGCATATACAGCAAGTTCCATAACATTTCTAAAATCTCAGAGACTGAATATTTTTTCAAAAGCAATATTTTACCAAGGAAAGCATAGCAAAACACACATAAACATTAAGACGACAGCTACATGTAAGCTCAGTTTTTGAATTTCAGATATCGGTACAAGAGTTCCATGCCTGGTCTTAATTAGCACATGTACATGTACATGTAGCTCAAAATTTCATGAAACCGTAAATAAGTACATGTACATTTACACATACTTTTATAAAGCACTTCTTGCTGGTTCTTTATCCAGATTGGTTGAAATACAGTCACATGCGGTTCACTGATAGCGGTTAGTACATGAACCTTGCACTGGTGTGATTTGGATGCACGCTAAGACATCGCATGCATGCACGATGAATTCCAGAGACCCTGTCTGGCACTAGTACCCAAAATATTTGACAAGTTCGGGCAACTTCACATGACAAGAACAGTGAATTACATAACACAGAATTTAGGGAAACTAAAAAACTTCCTTACATTGCTTGCCGAGTTGCTTGTTATATCTTTGATTTGATACAGTTCAGTTTAAACCTGAAAGCTGCTTTTCCTACTTTTCATTTTTAGACAGATACTGACATACACGTATCGGTAATTTGGTCACTATTACACGTCCAAGCCCCTCTAAGGCCTGTGAGTGACCAGAAGAGGGTTCTACATGTTACATGTATTTCCTGGGTTAGAAGGCCTCCAGAAACAGGTCCCTCCTTTGGTCACTCAGTACCTCGGGGTACATATGCACCAGTATAAACTCTTTCCAGTCAAACCGAAGATATTAAAAAATTGCACGACATTAGACACTGCATTTCAAAAGGTACCTGGCAGCAATTGGTTAAAGGAACACAACCACACATAACAGAAGTGAAAGAAATTAATCCCCCAAAATGTGGCTCATGAGCCAAAGAAGCAAATTACATAAATACTCACCTAAACACTGAACAAGGATGTTTTCATCTTTGCTGTTGACAGCAACTTCACCTAAAATCCAGCCCTGTGAGAATTCATGCCAGACTTGAATTTGTAATGCATGTGAAATATCTAAATACTGGGCAAACAGCCACTGGGTATACATGTACATGTATTTTTAAAATATAGTAAAGCTTTAAACAACAGAGAATTCAAACATTAATGAATCAGCTTTGAATCAACCGAGGGATTCACCACGGGCTTGTAAAAATAAGGGATGGAAAAGAAGCCAACAAAGCCAAGTGTAGAACTAAAATAGCTAGAACTACATGTAGGACTTTCCCTAATCAAACTGCTGCTGGATACTGTTGCACTGTAGAAGGATTGCAGATGCACCATATATGTGAGGATCCATCTCTTCAGACAGAGGTGTGGTTCGGAAAAGATCTGGTAAGTCAAGCATTTCGACTGGGATGCTCTGGTCCTCCTCAGGAGAGATACCGGTATGGCTAGAGGAGAAGGGCTGTAGCTTGAGGGAGTTGGACTTTGGGTTTCCCTTACACCCAAGGGGTAGTGGAGACTTCAGGTAAGGGCATCCTTGTGGGCTAGGTGAAGTTGATTCGTTCGAGCTTCTATCCATCGAGTTGGAGGGATCCCTTTGATGTTTTGTTGCTGCCACCATAGAGAGAAAGCTCTTGTCACAAACCTCTCGGGCTCAATGGACAAGGATGCACTTAAAACAACTTCAACGCAATCCAGACATGCTACAAAGAAGCAAGGCCTTTGATCAAATGATAATAAATCGCTTAAAATTGTTTTTTTTTTAACTCGGTTCCAGGTTTGGCTTTCCCAGGCTTGCCAGTACTTAACTATTCCTGCTCGATGCCACCTTGACCTGAAAAAAAACAGCATGAGGTCATCTATGACTTGACTCTCACGCTCCAAGGTGATTGGCGTCGAGCCTGTCTGGGGCTTTCTCCCTGAGACTGGGTCTTTTAGAGGTGTACTCAACATAAAGCTCACCTCCATCCCCACTTTGGAGCCCACTCATGTGCCTCCTTTGCACCCAACTGACACTCGTCTCCCTGTTGCACTAGTGATGACATACTACCCAGAATTCTCTTTGGGCAACCTCAGCTCAACATCAGTTATCAACCTGATGGAGTGCACGCCAGCTCCCAGCGGACGTGCTTGTGTTCCCTTCCTTTCGGGAACCACCAGACCACAATGCAATGGCAGCCTCCAACATCTTTGCAGTGAAGTCTTTTTCCCACTGCAGAAATTGTGCTTCCATTCGCAGTCGCTGCAGCTTGGCTTTGGCACCTGAGGTGCCTGCTTGATCCTGCGAGCCTTTGCTCACGGCTGAAACAGAACCGACAATCTCACACAAAACAACCAACAATATGCAAGTCAAAGCACTATGTGCAATCAAATAATTTCACAGAGAAATCACTTCAGCAATCACAATCTACCAACTTCTGACACCATCTGTGGCAGGGATCTTCCCGGGCCAAACCTAAGTTTGATAGGGCCAGTGGCTGATCTTCCTTAACTCAAGCTTTCCCCACACAACTTTCATGACTTTAGGCGGAAATGTAAAGCCAATTATGAAGACTTGATTACTCTCTGTGAACAGCACAATTGAATCTGCAAGAAATACACCTCGACAACAGGATTATCAGCACGACAACTATGATGGCAATTTATTCAACAATAATCAATAAATATACATTGATAATTAGGAATTGATTGGGTTTGCTTTATTATGCACCAGGGTCCTTTAATACTACAGGAGACAATCTGCTGCTTGCATCACCACTAATGTGCACATTATAAGCAATGCACCACAATGTACTGTACATGTAGGTAATGCACAACAATGTAAGCAATGTACAAGAATATTAACCACGCACAACAATGTAAGTAGTGATGAACTTCCAAGTCATCAGCAATGCGCTACCAAGTCAGCAACACACAACAATGTATTAAAGTAATGAACCAAAGTGTATATAAGCTATGCACTCTAGCATCAGCAACACTCTCTTCAATAAGCAATGCACAAACCGTATAGAACCCGGTTACAGTATGTTCTAACCAGGCAGCTGGTATCAGCACCCTACAGAATACAGCTTTGTAAGCCAGTTCGTACACAGTTCGTACACGCGGTCCCATTAAGCACTATGCAGAACACAAACTGCAGGTAACACATTACCTTACTCAACGCTGTCCAGAGCTCGATTCTCCCAAGCACCACGTGACTACTGTGGCATTTTGTTCCCAACGAGAAAGCTTCAATACAATGCTGGTCTCACCAGTCTCGGCAAACTATTCCAACTGAGGGGAAAGTCACCTGACCTACATTGTGTAAATCTAAACTTTCTGCCTTGGCCCTTGAGTTTGACAAGCAATTATAAGGTCCAGGGGTTATTTTGGTGGAAATATTCCACCGACTGGTAACTGAGTTGGTAACCCGGTCAACGGACACAACAATGAGCATGTGCGTACACAAGGAATTGCCGGCAAGATCAACAAACTTATTTAATATACTTTTCTTTAGCTTGTATAATCACTGTATTTACATAATTCGAATTACTTATTTTATACAAGACTTATTAAAGAATAAAAGCACAAAAGACAATTTCAAAAGAACACTTAAATAATTTGCACTGTGCAAAGTGCTGCAATCCGCACTCCGAAATAGGCACTCTGCAACCAATTACCTGTATCCGCAAAACACTCACCCAAGATATCGGCGGATTACTGGTGCTAATTAACTAAACCCAACTAACAGGTAACCCAGGGCACCTGCCGACACTCTGCTCGTCCAGTCTTTCACCGACTCCCTAGACGCTGACCTTCAGACAACCCTTGACAACTCTGCCCACAACTCTATACCCACAGTATTGTTCTACCCACGATCCTTTCTGACCAATACTAAGAACAGTACACAATTAGTCAACTACTTCAGATACATTACGGTTAGTTAAGTAATTAACTGCTTCGATTGCTGAAACAGTACGTGAACTGCTTGCAGACTCACAGCGGTAGCGCACACAAAAGGAGTGGTCACACACAACATTGTTCGCTCACCGAACCAGGCCTCCAGTCTGACTGCATGGCACTTTTTGACACAACATAAGCTTGCGCTAGTCCCACGCTGCCTCAAACATGTACATTTACACAGGAATTACAAAGAGATTAATGCTCATGTCCCAGGTACCAATATGGTGGTCTTGTGCATTCTCTGCGCCAATACAAACATAAGAATGATCTTCAACTGAACCTGAACTTGTTAATGCCATTTCGTCACAAAGGCCTAAGCATAGCTTGAATGGCCCCCAATTCATATCAGCAACATGAAAAGGAAACAAAATGAGCAACTAGTAAAACTCTTCTCATTTCTTGAATTCACAAGAACTGCACAGAGTAATGAAAGTTTATACAAGTTTATGAAAATAATTTGAATACTCAAACAAAACAAACAAGAGGATCGAACCTCCCACAAAGTTGAAATTGTCAAATGGTTGTGAAAAAACTTATACAGAATAATCCAAACTTTTTCATAATTCAGAAGTGTTTAAAATTACCATCACTTATACAGAAATTGGAATCTTATACAGAACTGAACACAAACCAGGAAACATTGTGAAAAGCACACAACTGCTTTTCTTTCCTCAAATATATCTTTAATCTACCAACTTACTTCCTGAAATACAAAAATAAACAGATACACTCTTTTCTTTACTCTCCTTGAAACTCTTCAGACCCATTTCAACTGTTGATCAAGATGTGCCAATGTTTTTAATACAAAATATAAAATGCTTGTATCTGTAAAAACACTACATTGTACAGAACTACACGTAAGTTATAACACAATAGAGGTTAAACACGCCTTAAATACTTTGTAAATAACTTAGAAAAGCTAAACTCTATCTAACAAAGCTAATCCTGGCTCTGGCTGTCATCGCACTACAGGGGGAGGTCTAGGGTTGACTCTGTTGTTCCCTGGCAGATCTCTGCATTGGCCTTCAGGTAGGACTCCCGGCACTTTGTCTGGCGAATGTGGGTTCCATCCAAGAAAACTTCGGTCAGGGAGTACACGCTGACGGTGGCCATCTTCTTGATCTTGGCTGGAGGGGGCCCTCAGGTTCCTCTTTCATCTCAAGGGGAGGTATTGATGAAGCAGTTGACACCGATGTCAGGATGATTGAGTGGGGTGTCATCATCTCTAGCATGCCTTGGGGCTTGCATTACTAGCGGTAACGCAGGGGCAGTCTATGAGTCCTTTAGGATAGCGTCTTTGTGGGCTTTGAAACACATCACTAATCTCACTTTGACTCCTCTTCCATAGAGAGCAGGTGGATGCAGAGGACACATCGGTGGAAGTTTAAGCCTCATCACTGATAATTTGCAGCATCTTCCTGATGGGCAAATGTAGGGATAGGGGTGTTTGGTAGAGAGACATAACCACTTGTCCTCCAGAACTTCTTGCTTAAGAGATTACAAGATACAAGTCTGCCACAGTGCAACATCTTAGGGGCAACCAGTGTGCTCTTTGGGGTCTTGCCTAAGCACTGACATGTTTTTCCCTTCCGAGTGACATAAAGGACACCCTGAACCTTACTCCTCTGTAATGGCATCTTCCATTACAGGGACATTATCCTTTACATAACAGGCTAACTCTGCAGATGAACTGTCATCATCTGGATGCTTTGTCAGCCTCCTTGGGCAATTTTCTGCAACCTCATACCCAGGCTGACTTTCAGGCTTGTCTGAAGCGACACACAGCTTGAGTCTAACATGGGGACACCTTTAAGTTTGCCTCCATTCCTTGGTTGGATGCGAACTGTCGCAACTCCTCCCAACTTTTCCATATCCGTCTGCCTATGCTTTGGATCAATTACCATTGCAACAATGTTCACCAAGGTTGTGTTAAGCCTCTCAACCTATGCCTTCCAATTTCAGATTGTAGGCTGCTGGTTTTGTTTTTGGTATGCTGAAACTTTGGCACATTTCGCTGTTCTTCCTCAACGTCAGTGCCCTGGTTAGAATGGAGTTCTTGGGACACCCTAAACCAACAGACAA